TCAATACTAAAAATAAATTTAATATATAACTTACAGAAAATCTTTGGTTTCGTGCGTCCTATCGAAAATTCTAGATCACAAATACAAAAAAAACTACTTTTAATAGTTTTTAATATCACAAAATTCTTTCAAATAATTTTTTTTTTTTTATTCTTTTAAGTACCACTGAAAACTTTTCACAATTACAGTAGGCGCAACATAACAAGTTATTTTTACCGCGGAAAAAAAAGCTAAATCGGTTGGTACTGTGTGACCAAAGCCGTGAAGAGTACTTTGTCTTATTTTAAAGATGGCGTCTTTCATCTGAAGAAGTGTTAACTGTTTTGTTTATAGTTTATTTTGTTATTATTTTACCTTTTTTTTAAATGAAATTATATTGTTTTATCGTGTTGAATGGATTAAATTAATATTTAATATAAAAATCACTCGATTGTTTTTATATAAATTTTTTAGGTAAGTCAAAATTGTTCGTTTTAGTACCCAAAAGGTCTTTGACACAAAATCACAAAATGCTACATGTGCATTTTAATCGTTTCTCCATGAAAGATTTACAAATATTATTTTAACTATTGTTTTATTTATATTTTTAATTATTTTGTCATTTATAAATTTGTTTATCAAGTTTATTTAATCTATAGAGCATAACTTTAAAGAGGCGGGAACAAAATTTTGAAAAGATTTAGTAACGCATATATATATATATATATGAGTATTTAACTAAAATTTTTGGTAACTCACTCACAATACATAATTTGTTCAAATTCCTTTTTAAATTTTGTTCAGGTAAATTTTACTACCTGTACCTGACTTTATTTTATTAAGTAAAACTCACGTAAAATATATTTTAATACTTAATAATTGACAATTTGTTCTCAAGTATTTTTAACTTGAATTTTATGTATTGGGTATTTGAAATGTAACTTGTAAGGGTACCAAACTAATTTTCCATTTAAAAAAATATTATTATTATATACTAGTATACTAATAATATACTTAAAAGCCTTTCTTTTTTTTTTAAAAAAAAAAAAAAAAGGTAATTAAAAAATATTTAAATAAATGAATGAAAAATAATTATTAGTGTAATATTTTTCATACATAAATTTTAAATTATTTTTTTTTGACTTGACACTAACAAGTTTCTTAAATTATATTCATATCATAACATATCATAACATTTTTTTTCTTATAATTTAGTAATCAATTAGGTAAATAAGAGACTTAATAAAATTTTCTATTACATAAATGCATACAACCAAATTATAAATTTTTTTAAAATCAATCGCTTACTCTAAAATTTTAAACAAATAGTAACTTCAAAAGACTTTTAATAACTTTTTTAAACTCAACAATAATGTTAAATTTAATTGTTGATCATATTTTCAAGTTATTTTAATTGTGAAGTTATTAATGAATTATTATTATTATTATTATTATTATTATTATTATTATTATTCTATCCATTATTAGTTAACTTCTTGTTATTTTATTCAAATTTGTAACAAACATATTTTTGTGACACCCTATAATTAAATGAAATTTTTTTTTGAATGGTAAAAACTTTTTGGAATCAATATTCTTTTAAAATTAAGAATTAAATGTTATTTAACAAATGGAAAAATTAAGGACCTGTTTTTTTTTTTTTTTTTTATTTATATATAAACATTTTCATTAAAATGATTTCATCCTGTTACAAAAAATAAAATACTTGTTGGTGAATCATAATTTTTTTTAAAGAGAAAAATATACTTCTACTACTTAATTGCTTGTGATATTATTTTACAGTTTTATTACATAAAAGTAGTACTTGAATTACACAAGATTTAATTTTTATAATTCATAAAAAATCTTATTAAAATACGTAAAAAAAAAAAATTTTTTCATAACACATCATACTCATCGACGATTGGTCGAATTAAAATTAACAAGTTTTTCGCATTTTAATTTCTACATATATAATCGCAATGCAAATCCCGAAAAGAGAAAAAATTAATTAATTAATAAAAAATTATTATTATTATTATTATAAAATGGCATTAAAAAAAATAAAATTTATGTGAATCGAATTGGTTTTAACATTTTTTTACAAAAAACTTTTTGCCGACTATTCCAGTTGTTGACATTTTCCATCGTTTAATGTTAAAAATCTAATTACGGCCTTTTTTTTTTTTTTTATCGAACTTTTTTTTTGTATATATAGTTTGCGACGTTAGAAAAAAAAATCATAAATGAAAGATTTTTTTTTTTTCAAGGACAGGTACGACAAAGAACAATAAAAAATTTCCTTTTTTATAAAAGGGAAAGAAATTTATTAATACTTATTCGAATAAAAATAAAATTCTAGCAATGGCAAACTTAACGATGGGGGGGCCTTCAAATCCAAAACTTTAGCATAATTTTTTTAGAAAATTTATTAAATAAATAAATAAATGGGGAATAGTTTTTACATGTCTCCCCAGTAATTTCTTATATATGAATTAATTTTTTTTTTTCTTAAAGTTAAAAAAAAAAAAAAAAAACTTGTTTGAGTTGTTGCCGCACCCGAAAACACTCATACTATTTTGTTTATAAAAAATTTTTTTTAAATAAAAATAATATTTTAAATCAATATTTAAATAAATGAAAATTAATTTTTTTTTTAACACGAAATATAAATAATTAAATATTTAATTGTTTATACAAAATAAAAAGGGAATATTTTTTTTCACATTAATCTTTATAGTGAATAGAAATATTTTTTTAAAAAAAATGGCCGATTAGTTTTTAAATTTTTTTCATAATTACGTGAGAGAGAGAGGTACAAAAAACAGGCATGCAGGCATGGATTCGAGTCAATTTAAGAATTATTTGTATTTAAAAAAAAAAAAAAAAAAAAAATGGAAGTGAATCGAGTCAAAGTTTATATAAAAGTGTTCTCGAATGTGTTGCATTTACCCTTAATTTAAATGTGATTACAATCTTGAAGAAAATGCCTTAAAGCGGTTTGCCCAGACTTGTGTACCTGCTTCTTTTTTGTTCTTGCCTTATTTTTTATAGCTGTGACAATCCATTTGGGTATATATTATTGTCGTCTCGATTTTTTAAAGTCGTTTTTATTCAATTATGTTAATAATTTATGCTTAAAATTTTGTTTTTTTTTTTTTTCAACTTTTTTATGCGTCGTCCAGTAAAAAAAAAAAAAAAAAAAGAATTCACCTCTGGAAGAATTGTCTTTACCTTGGGGAAAAAAAAAAAAAAAACATTTGATTGTTTTGCCCCGTACCTGTGATTCGAGCGCAAACAGTTTAGGTTCTCTATTGGCGCTTCACTTAAATTTATTTTAACAAGGATGCATATTGAAACAATTTTTTTTTTTTGTTGTGGTTTTAACATTCCAAACTTGTTACTAGTTTGTTTCAAGTAATCCTCCATTTTTTTTTTTTTTTTCTATCTGAAAATAAAATATTAGAATATTTTTTTTTTTATGTAATATAAATTTCCCTTAAAGGAAATAAAAAAAAAATTAATAAATTTAAATTTTTTCAGGAAAATATAACAGACACACACACACACACACAACAACAAATGATTTACATTAAATTTATTAATAAAAAAATTAAAAAATTTAAACTACTGAATGAATTTACAATTATATCCGGAGCAAATGTTAGTTTTTTTAAATTTATTTATTATACTTTTATTATAATTATTATTTTTATATATTTATTAAAATTTTATATTTTCAGGTATGATTTATATATTTATAGTTTTAGAATGCGATCATGGATGATAAGTCGTACTTTACTTTACTCGTTTTTGGTTCTTTAGTAGTTTTCTTGGATGCTGGTTAGTTTTTTATATTTTACTAGTATTTAGTAAATAAAATGATTAATTTTATTAATGATGAATGAAAAATAAAAGTTTTAATATCAGGCATTATTATTCGTTAATACTCATTTAGATTTAATTGAAAAAAAAATTTTTTTTTACCTTCAGATGTTGGACCAAAATTCATCAACAACCCTGAGCCAATTGTGGCTCCTCTTGGAGACGAAGTAGAGTTCGATTGTTCTTTGGATGTTAAAGCTGACTATCTTAGATGGAAGCACAATGGAAAACTTCTTCCTTTTATATATAATGATACGGCAAAAAGTCGATTGGTATTCAAAGTAAGAACATAACAAGTTGTTATAAAAGTAAAAACAAATCATGCATTTCATAATTGTATTAACTTTAAATTTAATGGCGAATAAAAAATTATTTTTCAGATGAACAATGAATCTCAAATAGGAGATTATCAGTGCATTGCTTGGTATGGAGCTAGTGCCATTGCATCCAATTCGGCTCGTCTCAGCCTAGCTGAAATTGGACCCATTCCCCCGAAATCTTATAGGTCGGTGACGGTTTCAGAAGGAAACAACATTGGAATAAAATGTAGGTCACCCTACAGCAAACCTGCAGCTTTTATTCAGTATTATAAAAATAACGTTTCTGTTGAAGGTAAACATTGTTTTTTTTTTTTTAAATTTTTTCCGGCTGAAAAAATTACAATTTCATTTATACGTAATTTAAATTTTCCAGCTCACGTTTCTAAATCTGGAACACTATTACTGACTAATGTAACTTCAAAGGATAGTGGTTTATATTCATGCTCAATAACAAATCCTTATGTTAAAGAGAATGCCATATTTCTTCCCAGTTACGACAATATTTTAGTTAGTACGGATTTAAAAGAAAATCCCCCTCAGTTTTCTTATCTGCCCGAATCTCTTTATACTGTACAAATAGGTAAATTCATTTTTGTGTCTTACCCTTACTTGATTATATATATATATATTTTTTTGAAAAATTTTGATCGTGATTAAATTCGAATCGTGTTTTTCAGGAGCGAATGTGACATTAGAATGCGTGGGATACGGTCAACCCATTCCAAAATATTATTGGAAACGAAAAAATGGTACATTACCTTTAAATAAACACACGATAGTGCCAGGAGGTCTTTTATTGATCAATGTTAATGCGAGTGATGAAGATTTTTACACGTGTGAAATCGATAACGGGATACCTCCTAAACTTATTCACAATTTTAAAGTGGTAGTGCAAGGTAGATACCTTACGGAATAGATTTATGATTTTTTCAAATATCACTTCAATCATGATTATTATTTTTGATAATAAAAAATTAAATTTCTCTTTCCAGAACCTGCTTTTGTCGAAAAAGGTCCTTTAAACCTTTTAGTCAAAGAAGGAGGAAAAGCTAGAATGGATTGCTTCATTAGAGGTAAACCTTTTCCTAAAGTCACGTGGCTTCTTAATGGCGAAACCGTTAAAAACGATTCTCACGTTTTAATAAATGGTTAGTTAATAAAAAATTTATTAAATTTACCTTTTGTTTTTTTTCCTTTTTGTTATTTCCTCTGTGATTTTTTTTGTTTAGGTAGCACAATTCACATTTTTGTGGTTGAAAAACGTCATGCTGGAATGTATCAGTGCATGGCAGAAAATATTTTGGGATCTTCTTTTGGTTCTTCTACTCTTCGTGTTGAACCCCGTCAGGTAACTGCCAAAAATTCATTTGGAATGCGTCAATTTTCATTTCACAATCCACGATTTCGAGGAAGTGACGTCAGATCCGTTTTTAATCAACCTATCGATGGCAACAAATTAAAAAAAAATATTAAAAATAAAGGTATGCGTATACATACTATTTTAATTGTTTCAAGTTTTTTTTTTTTAAAAAGGTTTTCGAATTAAATTTTTTTGATTTAGTAAGAATTTTAAAGGAAAAATTATTTTTTAAATAAAACATTAATCGTCTCAAATTTAAATATGTATTTTAATTGAAAACTAATTTTCGTATTTTCGATTTTTTGTTAAGGTGAAATGATTCCACCTACTCGTCCTAACGTGACTAGATTGACAGATAACTCTGTAATGGTTCGATGGCATGTAACGCCAAATAAAGGATTACCAATATTGTTTTTTAAAGTTCAACATAGAGAACTAACTAAAGGGAAGGGATCGAGGTGGAAGACAAACAACGAAGACATTCCTCCTCATGTTGGAAGTTACGAAGTTGTAAATCTTACTCCTGATAAATATTATAGGTGATTTATTATTTAAAAAAAAAAAAAATTGTAATTATCTCGTGACTATAAATAAAATGTATTTTTTAGATTCAGAATTGCAGCCGTTTATTCAAATATGGACAATAAATTGAGTCCGAATTCCGCGAGATTTTTTCTTCACGGAGGAAAAGTCAAACAAACTCCTGCAGCACCTGAATTAATTCACACGAGTGCTGCCGGTCCCGAATCAATTCGCCTCGTTTGGGAGGTAAATTTTTTTTTTTTTTTTTTTAATTCTTTTCAATTTTTATATTTTTCATTTAACTAATTACCAAACGTTTCATTGCAGTATCATAATAATAGTAAAATCCCGATTGAAGGATTTTACGTGTATTATCGATCCACTTCAACTGCTGGAGATTACATAAAAGCTACAGTTGAAGGAGAATGGATAAGAACTTATGTTATAAATTATTTGAATCCGGACACTGCGTACGATATAAAATTACAAAGTTTTACAATAGATGCAGCCAGCGATTTTAGTGAAATCCTTACACAAAAAACAGAAAGTAAGTTAAAAGTTAAGAAAGGTATTTAAACTTACTATTGTTTCTTCTGCTTCTGTTTCATCCGTGACTATTTTTTTTGTAGAAGAACCGACTGTTAGCCCACCTTCGGAAAAACCTACAACGAAAAAAACAGAAGATGAAGAGAATGAAAGTTCAAAAAGTAGTAATCAGTTGTATGTGACATTAGGAGCGGTTTTAGGAGGTTTGGGATTATTGCTTATGCTTTGTTTAGGGATATTTTTTTGTAACAAACACAGGCAAACTTCTACAGTATCTCAAGGTAATCTCTATCATTTTTATTTTTGCACTCGCATGTTAACCTGATAATATTTAAGTTTTAAAATTCTTTTTTTTTTTTTTTCTCTCTCCAGACATGAACAGTGAAAATAAATCAAGAAATATTCAATTAGAACAAATAAATCTTAACGGACACATTCCTATATCTAACGGTCACGTTGGAAAAAGTAACGGTTATCTAACATCGAAAATGAATATAACGAATAATCCATTGGCCGACACAGACGAAGATAAAGTATGATTGATAATGATAACTTTTTTAACTTGAAATAATAATAATAATAATAATAAATTTAATGTTAAAAATTGATTAATAATTATAGAATCAAAACATAATGGAAATATCATTCATAACGAGAACATCAACAACGACGACGACTACAACCAATCAATTTAGTAATTTAACAAATCGTTATCATGAAAATCCAGAAGTTTCCAATCGTAAAAAAATAGAAAAGATAAAAAAAAAAAAAAAAAAAATGAATAGTCAAGTGCGTGAAGAAAGTTGTTCGAGTGTTGATGATGAGGATTTTTACGAGCCTAATGATATTGTTTTACAATCATGCGGATTGGAAAGTGATAATTGGACAAGATGTGACGTACCAACCGTTCGAACTGTTGAAAATTACGTTTAAAATAATAATAATAATAATAATATTTTTTTTATAAATTATCGAGGCGTTCGTTATATCTCTTTTAAACGCGTTCAAAAAAATATATATATATTGTTTTGTTGTTTTAAATAATTTTTTATTGTAAATTATAAGCCTTTCGGTGCCAATTTCAGTGAGAATGATTGATTGATTGATTGTAATTATTAAACAAATATTTTTTGTGATAGAATCTTAAAACATTACACGAATGAATGAATGTTATTTTAATTTTCAAGTCTGATAGTATTTATTATCTTTTTTTTTAGCATGTAAAAAATTATTATTATTATTCAAGTGCACTTTATTGTTAATTATTCTATTTTAATTAATTGTTAATAAGGGTCAGAGTGTATAATCCAGGCAAAAAAAATTAATAATAATAATAATTAAAAGAATATAAAGCGCACATTTATTTTTATGTTTTCTTTTTTTTTTCTCTCCCTCGTTAAGTTTTTGTTTATTTTATGTAATTTTTTTTTTTTTTTTTTTTTACACGTCAACCCCTACCTGATTTATTTTTTCACCCTAATTAAAAATAAATTTGTTAATTCAATGCCTGAATTATACACAATCTGAACATAATTTATAAAAAAAAATTATACCATTTAATTATTTAAATTAAAACTCGCATAAGAATCGAATGTTTACTTTAAAAAATTTTTTCTTTTTATTAATAATTAAATAAATATTATTAATTAATAATTATTCCATCACGTTATTGTTATGATAATAATAATAATAAAATCCCTCACTTTAAAATTAAATACGAGCGTTCGTTTTTTTCCAAAAAAAATTAATTATTAAAAATCTATTTTTATTGATTTCACTTTAATTAATTAATTAATTAAAACACGCTAATTGTTATTAATAATAATTAAAAATTTCAATTATTAATTGTTTAATTTTTTTTAAAAAAAATTTATTATTGTTCTATTTTTAAAAATAAATAAATAAAATCTGTGATTTTATTTGTGTTTTGTAAATATATATATATATATATATATCAAAATTATTTTACTTGATAAAAAAAATTAACACGCTTATTATTTTGTACATAATAAATAACATTTTTCAATTATTTTTTATTTTTTATTGTTATTTATTAATTTTTTATCCTTTTATTTATAAAAAAAAAATATTTTAATAAAGTATGAAATTTAAATAAATTTTGTTTTTGATTTAATTTACAATTTATTAGTTTTTAATTTTTTTTTTTTATACAAATTTATTTTTATAAAAAAAAAAATAAAAAAAAATGTTTAAATTAATTAAAAACGAATCGATTCATCATTATTATTGTAAAAAAAATGGGGGGTAAAAGGGTAAAAGTTTCGCAGATTATAATATATACTCGTTTTATTTTTATATATATATATATAAAAATGTATAAACTTATTTGAAAAAAAAATGGATTGTTCGATAGTTTAATCCTGATTTAAAAAATCTAAATTTTCATCGACTTCATCTAATGAACCTGTTATTATGGGCAACGAAAAATTTTCCCTTGAATTTGTTATTACGTTTCTATTACAATTAGGACTAGAATCTTGGATTTGAAGAGTTTTCGCATTTGATGCGCAACTATCGAATAAAGCTTCGTTAATAATACTTTCGATCGTGTTGGATTTTGGATAATCCAAAACCATTTTCCTATTTTTAATAATTTTTTTATTAATTGATTTATGATTTTTTTTCATTCCGGAAAATTTTTTCACACGCGTTTTTTTTTTAGCTTTACAATTATGATGATGCTCTTCTATCGTATTACCGGAAACGGTATTATATTCCTCCATTTTATTATGCGTCGATTCGGATTCGAATGAAAAATTATTCATGCTAGAATTTTCACTTCCGTCTTCGTATCCGTTAAACGGAGCTTTCGCATCGAAAAATTCCATGACGTCATCGAGAGATTTCGTTTTTTTATTCGAATAATGACCGTCGTATTGATCGTATTTTATAGAATTTGTTAAAGTATTATTTGTCGTTTCGAAAATGTTATTCGCGTTTGATAGAAAATTCGAAGATTCGGCAGAGCTGGGAAAAGAAGGTGCACACGTCGTTTGAAAATTACCACCGGTGAAATCATTTGTTCGAAGTAAATGATCCGGTAGTGGTAAATTAAAATCTAATCCGTCCGCTTCTCCTCCCGAAAATAAATTCAAATTTCCCGATTCTTGGGTCGGATTTAAAATTTCTATCGCGGAATCGAAATTCGACGAAGGAACGTTGATGACGTCGTGTTGAGACGTTAAACTTTCCAACGCGATTTTCATAAAATCTTCCGAATTAACGTTTCCGGATGAAAAATCAGATTTCGAAGAATCTCCCTCCCAATTTTTAACTTTGAAATTATCGGAATTTTCCAAGAACGAACCTTTTTTTAAATCGAATTTTTCCTCGTCGTTTTTTAAACAGTCTTTTATTAGCGTTTTCGCCGAGGGTAAAACAATATCCAAATTCGCAGATTCTAAATTAATATTGCTAAAATCCGAAATTGAATTTCTACGGCTCGGAATGGTAAAATTAATATTACCGTTACCTTCGGGCGTCGATGTCAGTCTGCTCGAAGTTCTAACTCCAGGCATTCTCTCTTGAAGCCCTCCAGATATAATTGATTCCTCTTTATTCCATCCAGAATTTTTTTCCGTATCCCACACTCCTCTCATACTCCATTCATTCTTCTCTTTCGAATTTTTCTCCACCTTACTTGATTTTATATTTTCACTTTTATCATTTATCAATTCTATATTTTCAGAAAGAAAACTTTCGCTTTCGTTCGTCAAAAATTCATTGGAATTCGGCACTGATAAAAGACTATCCAAAAATTGAGAGTTTGTTTCATCTACTTTTACCGTGGACGTAATATTTGAATTTTCATTCCATAAATGAGACCCTGATTTTTCATTCGAATTCTTTATGTTATCATTTTCGTTTGTCCACAATCCGGGAGAATCTTTGGTTTGAACCAAATCCGAATTTCTATCCCATTTTTCTCTCGAAGAATTTTCATTCCACAATTCCGCCGAAATTTTATCCGAAGAATTTTCGTTCCACAATGTAGATTTGTCTTCATCATCCCCGTGTTTGCGAACCGCGTCGGAAAGTATTTCACTATTTTTTTCTAAATTTATATTAGGAGATTGTTCTAAATTATCGGAAGAGTTACTTTGTTCAACATCCTTTAAATCGGAATCGAGAGTTACAAGTCGATCATCCGGTTCTTCATATTTGACATCGTCGATGCTGTCATTTGAAGAATCCAATAATTTAGATGATAGATTTGGTTCGAATTTTGTCGAAAGAGTTTTAATTTCACTTTCGGGACCATCCCATTCATTTCTTTCTTTTACTTTGTTTTCTAACCAATAAGGAGGATTTTCGGTCAATTGTTCTTTAGAATGTTCGCTGTCATCCCAACCATTACATTTTTCAGGAAATAAATTGTCTTCCGCATCTTTACTTTTTTGATCTAAAAAATCAGAATTATGATCAACGACATCAACATTATTTTGATGAACTTGTTCCTTTTCCGTTTTTTTTTTATCACATGTTTTTGAAGGCCACTGAAGTAAATTCAGATTGTCACTGTTAACTTTGTAGAAACCTACAGGAAGTCCTAAAGCAATTGCCACTTCCATTCGATCGATCTAAAATTGATAAAATCAAAAACATTTTGTTGCAAAAAAATCCTATTTAAAGGTACAGGTATAAAAAAAAAAAAAATTTAATGAATTTTTTTTACCTCGATATAATCTTCATCTTTTTCCCCTTCTTTTGAAAATACTGGTAAGAAAATATCTTCGGCTATTTTTGTAAGTTTTTCTAATAAAAAAATTAACTCTTGTAAAAGAGCATCGACTTCGTCTTTTTTCCCATCCTTTACAAGATTAACGCGTAGCAAAAGAAAATCCCACGTAGTTAATGCATTGGCTAAAAGAGGCCCACACAAAGCTTTTAATTCTTCTTTTGACATTGAATTCAAAGCCTGAAATAATTATGGGAAATACAAAAGTTAAATTTCACCTTTTTCACTTTATACGGAAAATACAAACTTTTGAAAAGTACAACTACTCACCTGTTTGACTTTGCTAGTAATATTACACATATTCAGTCTTCTGGCTGCACGCCTTACTTTTGTTTCAGTTCTTTTTCGAAAATAATTCTCTTTATATTTTTCAACATTACAGTGATCGGGAAATTTATTTAAATGCCACATCATTCTTGTATGACCTAAGTAAATTTTTTGACACGTAGGACAACGGTATTCCGGTTTTACGTTTCTTTTCGTTCTTTGCCGCGGCCTTAAACCTGAATTTATAATTATTTTACATTTATTTCATTATTCAAACTATAAAATTTAAAGTACAGTTTTAATATTACCAGGCAATAAATTATTTTCTAATTGTAAGTCTTGAACATTGTCAGGTTTATCCACAGATGTAACTTTTCCGCATAAATTGAAAGAATAAATATCTTCGGATTTAACATCGCAATTCCCCTTTTCTACGGTATCCGAATTGGGAAGCTGCTTGTAATCTTTAACCATATATCTCGGAGGTCTTGAAAGTCTTCCAGAACGAGTTCTCGGAATTTTTTTCTATTAAACATTCAAATCATGCGTTTACATAACTGTAACTATTTAATTCAACAAGATATTTTAAAAATCAAAATACAAAACGTATTTCATCCTATTTATTAGTCGTTGAAGTTGATTTTTTTAGATAAACTTTTGTTATAAGTTTTTGAATTTACCTTTGGTAAAGAATCATCCATTTCCTCATCAGATACATCTTCATCCATAACGGAAGTCACGGATTTTTTCGGTCTTCCAGGTCCTCTCGGTAAAGAAAGTATTTTTTTTTGTATTTCCTCCTCTTCTTCTATTGAAAATTTTGTTTTATGTCTTCCACGTTTTTCTAAATAAACAAAAAAAAAAAAAATTTAATTATAAAATTTAATCATAAAAAATTAGAGAGGACTCAATTTTTTTTTTAAATTTTCTTATTCAATTAAATCAATCACTTATTAATTAAAAAAAATATTTTCTGCCACATAAAATGGCTTTAAATGTTCAATGAAATTAATAAAACTGTTTCGGCCAAATGAATTTTAATGCTTTAATTGTGTAAATACTTTTTGATATGCCTTCAGACGCAGGTTTGACGGCGCCCTTTAATTCAACATCTTCTGGATAAACAACTCTATAAACGATTCTTGTGTTGGTTTTCGGATCGAAAATTGAATTCTTTTTTGCACTAGGAGCATCAAATTTTTGTTTTGTAAATTGAAGCAATTTGCCTTACTGCGCTCTGATAACGTTGTCGACTGAAAGCAAAAATATATAAAATGTAGTTTTTTTTTTATATAAGATTTAATTAAATTTAAACAGATAATAGTGTATATTTTGCACATATAAAAATGTATTAATGAAAAAATTACCTGGAATTTTAATTTAAATAAATGACTCTAAATAAATATTAACGAGTTCTTATAATTTTTAGCAATTGCATAATAATTCCAACTCACCTGTGAAATGTATGTCCTGTTTGAACGAGTTGAATTGGATTTTCACTAGATCCTAAAGGATGCTCTTCCACATTTCCATTTTTTACCTTTTGACTAAAATAATCTGGATTATTCTTAATAAATATTCCGTTAAATTTTGTAGTCATACCATCCAAATTTACATCCTGAGATACATCTTCTTCCACTTTGTCAAAATTTTTAGACTCGAGGAACTTTAAATTGTTGAATTTTTTTTCATTTACATAAACATCGTTAATATTTAAGTTCTCTTGATATGTTTTTTTTAAGAGATTATTTTCCTGAGCATTAAAAACTATTTTATCAGTATCTAATTCTAAAACTGACATTTTTTCATTCTGCTTGTTTTCCAAATCTTTAGAACTAACACTTTTAGTCGACACTTTCACTTCATCATTTATTGTCGGTTTGGGTCTGATATTTATTATTTTATTTCCATTGTTTATAATCGGCTGAATTTTTAACTGAAGTTTTTGGGATTCAAGAAATTTTTGTAAACTAATTAAATTTTTCGCTTGTTGGAAATCACAATTCAGGGGTAACATTTGCTTCTGTTGAGTAGTACTGACCTTGTCTTTCGGATGAGGCAAAACATTAAAATAAGGCTGTTTAGTTGCCTGCTGACTTTTAACTTTTAAATAAGATAAAGATGCTGTGTCATCAATAGCTTTTAAATTAGGATATTCCAGGCGACCGTTTAAATTCATATGAGGTGTCTTATTAATATTTTTCACTTTCACAGATTCCAATTTTGTTTTTAAAGGTTCACAATTCTGGTCACTAGCATTCTTTAACAAACTCATTTTAAAACTTTTTTGTTTCACATCATCACTTATAAATTTGAGATCTTTATTTTTAAACTTAACTTTTTTAGTCTTTGAGTAATTACTTTTTGTCACTTTGTCCGATGCTGATAATACTGATTGTGTATCCACTGTTTTAAGTTTTTTCCCGTATTTCACTTTTTTACAACTAGATATAACATTTTCATTTTCTGATATTAAATTATCGATTTTTGCATCAATAGTTAAATTGTCTTTTTGTGAATTATTCACTAAAGTTTCATTGTCTATGGAAGTAAAGTGATAATTTAAATTTGACTTCAAAACACTATCATCACTTAACGGGTTTAAAATACTATTATTTGAAATCTTACTGTTATTTAATTTTGAAACATTATTTTGAAAAATTTTTTTGGATTCATTATTTTTAATTGACTGCACTGAATTAATAAAATGCTCAACAGGATTAGTTTCATAATGAACAATATGATTTCTTACAGGTTCTATGTCACTAATAACTGATTTCGTTTTATTAATATTGCATACATTCTTATCGATAACTTCTTTAGGTAAATCACAGAAATGAACTGTATACGTAACATTTCCATTGACTACTTGAGGTACAAGAGTGATTGTTTGGTAATTGCTATCAACTAGTTTGTTAGCATCGATAGTCTGTGGCAAAAGTTCTCCATTTTCCAGTCCAGGTGTTTGAAACCTTTCTGAATTATCCACAGCACATAAATTTGAACTGATATTTGCAAATTGGCAATTAAGTTTTTCTAATTCAGGTACAACATGACATGCTGAAGCTTCAGGTAATTTATTCGAAGCATCATTATACTCCATTACTTCATTTACCGATATTAAATTTTCTGGTTCTTGAACTGAATATTCTAAAATAGGCACTGAATGGATATGATGAATATCACCTGCTGAATTATAATTAATTTTCACCTCATTATTTTTATCTTTGTCATTTAGAGTTTTTTTACTTGTGCTATTCCAAACATCATTTTCACTTTTTGGAGACTCATAAAAATACAAACCCAAAGCCTTGGCTTCGTCGACTCCTATTTGAACAGTTTCGAGTTCATTATTATCTTCTTCAATGCTTATCTCGAACTTAGAAGACTCATCATTATTTTTTATACTAGTAATATCAGAATTTTCAGTAATTTCTATATTGCACCTTTCACTACCGTTAACTTTTGAATTTTCAACCATAAAAGTATCATCCAAAAATTCATTTGATACACTTATATTTTCAAAATCGCCTTCAAACATTATTGTTTGTCCGTTGACTGTAATAAGCCTCATTTCAGCGTCACTCAATGTATTTGTCTCTTCCATTTTGTTCACAAATTTTAGCATAATAATATAAAATTTAATTTTTTGATTGAAAATTCTTTTGATTTTAATTTAAAATGTGTTTTAATTTTGATTTAACATTGTGATATTCCTTATTTCCCCCCAAAAATAAAACAGAAATTAAGCTTAGAATTTAGAAATGGAGTATACTATGAATACCAACCTATCAAAACAAGTAATTTTTTGCTTCTTATGTTGGCATCATTGCTATTCATATGATAAAACCGTTTAAATTTTGTTTCTAACTTCACATCATTTCTTGGTTGTATAAGTGTTACCGTAGTTTATAACTTTTATTACTTTTTTTTTTTGGTAAAGTATAATTATAAATTATTATTAATCTTATATTTGTATAGTATTTTTTTTTAAAATAAATTGAAAGTTATCATTAAATTAAATAATAGTTATTCATGTATAGAAATAGATTATAGTACGTCATTTTGAAAACTGAATAGTAACTAAGAATATGGTCAAAAATAAAAAATTTTTTTTATTAGTATAAATTAGTTATTAATAATATACTTTACTATAATACATTTTACAATGCTTATAAATATTATTTATTGGTTATTTACGTGATAATTTACCCTTATTTTCATAATTTAATATTGATTGACATTTTTATTATTTCAATAATTATTAAGTTAGAATAAATAAATAACTATTTTATTAAATTTAAGTTTTTAAAAAAGTTTAAAATAATCATTGAAAGCATTATAACAAAACTGGAATATTTATTATTTTCTAATTTTTAAAATTATTTTTCTAACGTTATTTTAATTAATTAATTTTCAAATAATTTAGGAAATCGCCGCCATTTTACCGAATGTAAGTAGTAAATTACTTTTTTTTCCATTTTTGAAATTTTTTCCTATGCCTATTTTATTATTCGATAATGCGTCATTAGGTTACATAATACATAAAAAGACAAAGTTTTTAATGTTTTACTTCCAAATATTTTAAATTATACCCAAGACTACTTACTTTTTTATCGAAGATATCAATAAGGAGATATTGAGGATGAAGGCCATTATTCAAAATGGAGGAAGAAGGTATCTTAGACCAATGCAGATATTAGGCCTGAAAATAAAAAAAAAATTTTTTTATAATTATGAGATTAAATTTTCATTTTTTTATTTATTTTTTTAAATTGTATGATTTATTTTTATCTCTGTAAACAGGAAACAGAATACCGGTTTAAAATGAACTTTAAACTGTGTTAAGCAGATTTTATATATAATCATAATTTTAATAAATAAATTATTTTTTTTTAATTTATTCTTTTCCAGTACAACTTTTCAATGTCATTAAACATGTTTTATTTGCGTTTTATACAATATTGATAAAAATATCAAAAATGATATTCAATGTTTTAAATTTAAATAAAAAAAAAAAAATTAGTTAACATTAGGGTGAAAAATTAAATTGTGCAATTTTTTTTTTTTTTTTAATGACAAATTTTGACATTGCTAAAATTAAGTTGCCCTTGTCAGTAAATTAATCTCAATTCTGACCTGATTAAATTATCAAAAGTACTTCTCTTGATTTTGACCTTTTACAAGTGTGAACTAAGTAATCATCTTTTGTTAAATAAATTTTATTTTTGCATTTAATTTCAGGAAAAGAAGTATTTTGATGCATGAAAATTTTCCTATGATTATTCAACCATGTTGACAACTTTTGACACTCTTTTCATTTTGGTAATCATTTTAATTTTACTTTATTTTTATTTAACTTGGAATTACAAATATTGGAAAAATCATGGGATTGCTTATGAAAAGCCAAATTTGTTTTTTGGAAATTTAACAGATGCTTTCCTTGGTAAAAAAACATTTGGAGACATTTTTACAAATATATACTGGTAAATTTTCCTTTTTTTTTTTTTTTGTCCACTGGTGAATTTCTGTAATTTAATGTAAATATTATTTCCTCTTAGGAATCATCCAGATCAAAAAGTTGTTGGCTGGTATAAGTTGAGACAACCTGGAATATTGATCAGAGATCCAAATTTAGTCAAGAAAGTTTTAATAAATGATTTCTATTCTTTTAGAAATAATGATTTTCATTTAGATGAAGATATTGATCCTGTTTTAGGAAAAAATATTTTTGTACTAAAAGATGATAAGTTAGTCAAATTATTTTTATCATATTATTTTGATTTTTTGATAAATTTTTAAAATTAATATAAAGGAAAATTAAATGTTGAATATTTTATTTTTTTTTTTTTATAGATGGAAGAGACACAGAGCTTTGATGACTCCTGCATTCACAGCTGGAAAAATTAAAGCAATGTTTTTAATTATGGTAGAAGTTGCAAAAGAATTGGTAGAATTTTTAAAAGAACATCCAGAAGAAATCCATGTGAGTTATTTAACATGCAAGTTCATCTTTAAACCTTTTGCAGTTGCCTAAAAACCTGTAAAAAAAAGTGACCTGATGCCATAAATTGTTGAAACCTCTCAAAGGAACTGTAATTAATTTTTTTTTTTTTTTAGGTAAAACAAGTTATGTCAAGGTACACAGCTGAAATCGTAGCTCGTTGTGCTTTAGGTATAGATGGTAGGAATTTTAAAGAAAACGTTCCTGAAATGCACGAAATGGGAAAATTATTTTTTGAACCTGATTTGGCAAGAAATTTAAAATTGATGGCATTATTCTTTTTGCCAAGAGTAGGCAGATTGTTGCGTTTGAGGTAAATTATTACATTCGATTTACATAAAAAAAAAATTTTTTTTTAAATTAAATTTTAAATTTTTTTTTGTTAGAATGATGACGATAAAAGCAAAAAATTTTTTCGATTCAATTTTACACGACGTTATAAAATATCGTCAAGAAAAAAAAATTGATAGAAATGATTTAATTCAATATTTAATTGAAGTTAAAAGAAAATCTTTAATTGTGTCGAAGGGAGAAGTTGAGAGCGACATCATAACCAAAAGTAAACATTATTTGAAAATTTACTAAATAATTTATTTTTATTAAAAACATTTAATTATTTTATAAATATTCTTACAGCTTATACCGATGAGGACATACTTGCGGGATGTGCAACATTTTTCATGGAAGGTTACGAAACTTCAGCTCTCACCTTAAACAACATACTTTATTATTTGGCAAAAAATAAAAATGTACAAGATACTCTACGACAGGAAATAGATTCGGTATTGAATGAAGGAAATATAACATTTGAAACGTTAAACGCAATGCCATACTTAAACAGCGTCTTTTTAGGTAGATTTTGGAGTAGGAAATTCTTCTTTTTTTTTTGGGGGGGGGGAGCTAAAGTAATTTAATATTTTCTTTTAGAAACTGGAAGAATGTTACCAGTCATGTACACTTTTCAAAAATTATGCACGGAAAATTATGAAATGGATATTGGAGAATCAAAACCTTTGTTAATTGAAAAGGGTACACCGGTGGTACTTCCGATATTTGCCATTCAAAACGATTCGACTTATTGGGAAAATCCACACATATTCAATCCCGATAGATTTTTAAATAATGAAAATACAGATAGAAAATCCACGAATAATTTTTTTCAATTTGGTGACGGACCTCGAATGTGTCCAGGTAATAATGAAAATTTTACAATCGATCGGTATCTAGAAGCAGATCACGAGGAAAAAATAATAATAATTTGATGTCACTCAATATTTTACAGGAATGAGAATAGCATCAACAATAGTTAAACTTGCCATTTTTCACATTTGTGCAAATTTGGAAGTTTTCCCGACGAGTAAAACTCCAGACAAATTTGAATTCGATCCGACTTATTTTATGATAGGACACAAAGGAGGAATTTATTTAAGATTTGCAGAAAGAAGCAATTAGGAACGACTGCTTATAGTTAAAAAAAAAAAAAAAAAAGGAAAAACTTATAAACAATTTTAACAACAATTGATTTTTTTTTTAAAAGATTAAAATAATTACGTTTTATTATTATTATTTTACAAGCAGGTGCATTCAAAATAAAATTTTTTTTTTTTTTAAATATATCATAATTAATTCAATTTATTACCTTATTCACGTTTTTTTAAATTAATAAATTACACATTAACGTTAATATCGAGGCAAAATTCAAAATAAACTAAATAAACAATTTTAAATAATAATAAATAAAATTATAATTTTGATTTTACAAAAATAAAATAGGAACAATTAAAAATTATTTATTTTACACGATTATAAAATCTAGCAGCATACATACACGTTATTAACGTTTTTAATAAAAAATGACGTTAATAAAAAAAAAACAAACAAAATTATTCGAAATCATTTTTAATTAATTAATTAATATTATTATTTTTATTAGGTATGTACTCCTTTAAACACTATGTTACCTATGTAATAATAATAACTCGATTATTTAAGATTTTAATGAAATCTAAAAGACCATTTTTCAATTTATTAATAATTTATATTTAGTAATAAATTAAAAAAAAAAAAAATGAAAAATTTCATGTTCAAGCGGCTAAAAATTCTAAAAGACGAGAGCAAAGACAAATAAAATACATCATTTTAACAAAAATATTAAAGCATAATAATGATAATTAAAGCAATGGCAATGAGATTCAATATTTTTCATTATTCTCAAAAATTAAATTTCATATTTAAAAAAAAAAAAAAAAAAAGGAGAAAAATAAACGACTCCATTTTCTTTTATTCAAGTATTAAATTACGCGCGTGTGAATATGTATTAAACAATTAATTTATTTTAATAATTATTTACTAATTTATGTATCGTGGTAAAAAACAAATTATACGTAACTCGCCAATATTACATTATGTAGTTTTATACGTAAAAATTACAAAAAAATAAATTTTTATATGTTTTAAAAATTCAAATCTTAAATAATAATTTGCAGTAATTTCAATTTTCAATAGACAAACTTAAGCGAGTTTTAAATTTAAAAATAAAAGCGTTTTAAATGTGTTTATAAAAAATTTTTCTTTTTCTTTTTTTTGTCCAAATTTTAAGTTGGGCATAAAACTTTAAGAATGTAATCCGTTAAAAGTGTCGGTACCATAGGATTATCTTCTTTTATGGCTTTCAAAACTGAAATTCAAACAATAACAAAAATTTAATTTGATGATGAATGAGTTAAAGAGGGAAAAACTAACAAAAAAAAAAATGAATTCAATTTACTTTTGATTAAAACTTGAAGAGCCTGATTGTTTGGAGGACCTGAATCCTTATGATAGGGAATAACCGTTGTCAGGTATTTTGATTCTACCGCGTTTGTGCGGGGACTATTACCATTTCTATTGCACCTTTTCCTTTCGGCATGATATTGACGTCGTCTATTTTGAACCGATACGAGAAGATCGATAAAAGTATTTTTTAATTCTTTTTCATATTCCAATTCATCTCTCAAAGCTAATTCGGATATCAGAGTTTCCGAATATTTTTGAATTAAAACTTCCACTTCCAAATAAACCTCGTTTAATTGTGACAAACTCAATTGCTTCAACTCTAAATAAATAACAGAATAATAATAATAATAATAATAATAATAATTAAAAACGAGTAAAAGTATCCAAAAGTATGAAAGTAACAATTGTTAAAAACTCAGGCAAAAAACAATGAGGAAGAAAACAAACATTGAAGATTTTATGAAATGGTAAGATTAAAACAACATCTTTTTCTTCCATCAATGTGATGTTAACATGAAAAACAAACAAACAAACAAACAAAGGGCAAACATTTTATTAATAAAAAAAAAAATGAAAAAGAAAAAAATAAATAAAGAGATTAATTAAAAAAGAGAAAGTGTTAATTTAAACAAATATTTTGCCACGATTAGTATGTAAAATAAAAAAAAAAAATATTATTCTACTGGGAAAAAAAAAAAACGATGAATAAAAATTTCCCTCGTTTTTTTGTTTGTAAACCGATTTCATTTCCCGAATAAAATTAAATACAAACACACAAGTTAAAATTAAAGAGCACGATCAATTTAAAAGGTTGAAAATAATTAAAATAAAATAATAAAAAAAAAGTTTCATAGACTTACTTTCCTCGTATAAAGGTGAATGTACGATTTGTTTTGGCCTTTCGTAATCTTGACAATCCGGCGATTCTTCCGAATCTCCAGTAAAGTCTTCTTGTATCATATCATCAATTTCTCTATGACAAAAAAAAAAAAAAGCAAATAAATAATAGGTTGGCAATATTGATCGGTCGATCGATCACGTGACTTTTTTTTTAAAAAATTTCACTTACCTTATAACTTCTTCTGCCGTCTTAACGGATTCGCAATCCTGTCTCAAACCGTTCAATATTAACGAATGCATATCGAGATCGTTGGCTACCTGTTCGTCTTCGTCTGATAAATTAATTATATCGTCGTTTGAATTTCCGCCATTGTTTTCCGTTAAATTAAGAGTCGGTACGTGAAGTTTGCGAGCGTATGATTTGGACCAATCGATCGGTAGAATGTTGCCGAAATTCCCTGTGATGGTCCACCACATTCTAAAATTTTTTTCATAATTTAAAACACAACATAAATGTCTTTAATATTTATTATTTAAAAAAAAAAACTCAATAATTTTAAATTGAAAGTATCGATCGCCTCAATATTTTTATGCGTGAGCATGATTTTTCACATTTTATGCAATTTTTTGTAACGGAACGTTTTCATTGCATTTCAATAATGCATTTGTGACACGTAAAAAAAGTTACATGAAGACAAGAGAAAAAAAAAACATTTATCGATTTAACATAAGAATATACGATATAAAAACAAAAATCACGACGAAAATTAACTGCATAATAAAAAAAAAACATGATAAAATGGCTTGGTTTTGTATATTTTCTCTCTATTGGATTATTTACTTAATTTTTATTCTTGAGTGTTAATTTTTTATATAATCATTATAAATATTAAAATCTTTTACTCTTTATTAAATTTAAGCTCTGGATGAAAATATGTTTACATAACAAAAAAAAAAAAAATTAAATGCATGTTTTCATTATTTAACCCCATAATAAATCATTCTTTCTAAAATCATATTCATTAGCATATAAAAAAAAAAAAAAAGTTTCATATGAATTTCAAAAAAAAAAAACAAAACAAACTGTATGATATGGAATAAAAGCTTTTTCATTAAAAAAAAAAAAAAGAAAAACTAAAAAAAGAATTTTTTTTTTCTTTTTTTCATTAACAAACAACACATCTAATCTGTTAAACATTTTCAACAAAGAGGAAAAAAAAAAAAAAAAAAAAAAAAATTTTTTTTGTTGAATGACTTGAGTAGGAGTCGACATTATATTGCTGGCTGACTAAAATTTTATGTTTCACGTTATTTATAAAGCCTTCCTTGTGTTTATTTGACTAATAAATTATTTCGGATTAAATAAATCATTTTTTATTTTTTTCCATTATTTGACATAAAAAATAATAATAATAATAATAATAATTTCATTTCTCTCTCTCTCTCTCTTTAGGAAATTCTACTGGTTCCACATTGACAAAAATCCTAATCATGTAAAGGTTTAATATTCAAATTCTTAGAGAGATGAATTTTTTTTTAAGATAAAAATATTTTTCATTATTCGATATGAAATTCTAATATTTGCAAAAAAAAGAAAAAAAAAAGAAATTGCAGGCTTAACATAAAAAAAAAAAAAAAAAAAAGATTATGAAATTCCAAGGAGATTCTATTCATTTAAAATTTATTTATTTTCAAACATTTATGTTTTGTTTAATGTATTATTTTTAAACACATTGAATGATTATTTTTTATTTTTTATTTTTTTTTCAATGTTCCAGAGATTGTTTGATTAACCTTTTTTTTTTTTTTTATTACAAAACAAGTAATCCAACGCAGTTACATAATGTTTTTCGTTTACAACAAAATTTATCGTGACCTATAAACATTTTTTTTTTTTTTCCCCCCTTTTTTTTTTTATCATCATTCAATGGCGTAGTCAATATCAATAAAAAAAAAAAATAAATAAATTTAAACACACGATGAAATCATTTAAAACTGATTAATTATGATTAAATCATTTAACAAAGAAAAATTTAAGTGTCATTACTTGAAAAATGAATCAAAATTTATTTTTCTATTTATATATTACTATTTGGAAAATAAAAGTTTTGGTTTTAATTTATTTTTTTAAGGTGACATTTTGTATTGTAAAATAATGAAAACAAATTTTATTAAGAGATTTTTGACCTCCTAAATTTATAACAGCAAAAATAAGAATGATTGCAATAATAATTATTCGTTAATGAAAAAAAAAAATTTTACATCCAAAGCGATAACTTAATAAAAAGCAGAAGTAAATATATTCTAAATATTTTACTAGACAAACTATTTAACCTAAAATTTATTAAAATATTAAATTTTCCCATGTGTTATTTAAAATTTTTATGAATTTATGTGATAGTGAATATTATTTCAAACAGTCATTCGATTAAAATTTGCAAATTGGCATAATTTTTTTCTTTATCCTCATGTTGTCCTCTCTAACTATTCTGCTTACATCACATTCACTATCATTTAAAAAATGACAACAGAAAATGGTTATTAAGCATAATTACAATTTCTAGATGATTTTATTCAGCAATTCGATTTACTTTGAGAATGTAATAATTTTGTCTTTTACAGTCTGCACACATATATGTGACTGAACAAAACATATACATTGATTTTTTTTAGATTTGTCATTATTAATATTTTAAGAGAATTAAACCATTTATTGATATTTTAAATATGACTCATATGATTCTGTTAACTAATAAAAAAAAAAATGACACTTAAAAGTGTAGCATTAATGAAATAACATGAATGGAAGAAATAAAGGTTGTCGATAAACTAGATTACTAAAGCCTCACTAATAAGAATTAAATATTACTAATTAAAACCATTTTTTTTTTTTTTTTTTTTTTGACTAAAAATGGGAACAATGAAACCCACATAGAGAGCCATTATTTGCCTTTTACTGTTTTTAAAAAGATAAAAAATTGAATTAAATTGTTTTCTTTGTTCTTTATATCTACTTCATGTTTTTTTTTTGGGGGAGAGGGTGGGGAGAGTAAAATGTTAATTAAACTTGTTTTAAAATTAAGAAAGAAAGAAAAAAAAAAAACGTCAAATTAAAATCAATAATGGAATCGAGTTTGGGTAAGTTTTCTGCTTTTGCGCTCTTATGACATATATATATAAAATATGTTTTTAAAATGATTAATAAGAATTAAATTAAAATAAATAATTAAAAATCTTACTGGCATTCGTTCATTATTTCTTCTTGAGTTCGAACCTGAACCGGCGCCAGTTTCTCAACGTTTTCTTCATAATCACAAAAACATTTTGTTATCCTTTCATCAAACGTGTTAACCAAATCCTCTAGAGAGCCTGAAAACGTTTCAGTAAAATTTTCTGACACGGAATTTCCCTGATTCAAATTTTTCAACATATCTTCTTTCGAATATCCGTTTATTTTTTCGTATGCGAAATCCATGTTATTTATTTCTCCCTTGTTCGATATAAAAATCCCCGATTTTGAATTTTTTATATTATTCGTGAAATTTTCGTTGATGTTTTTTTTCAACGGACTCGAATTCAAAATATTTTTAAAATTATCGACAACATCGTTTGTATTTATTGTCATTCCTCCTATGGCCCATTCATCCTCCGACTCTTCAAACTGTGCCAATGGAGCCTCAAATTTCAGCTCAGCCATCTGCCTTGCTGTATCCAACATGGCGGATCGTGAACACAAACTAAACAATTTTAATGCTTCGGTGTCCCCAGCTATACTGGATAGTTCAATGGAAAAACAGTATAACTGATACGAAACCCGTTTATTGCGCAAGCGAATTTAACGTTTTAAACAAACAACACATCCGCAATGAAATTTTTTCCCCAATTTTATAATTTTAATAATAATAATAATAATAATAATAAATAGAAAATTATTTATTTAATAAATAAATAAATAATAATATCCTTTTAATCTATATTCTTTTTTAAATAAAAACATCAATTTTTTTTTATTATTAACTCGCCCTTATGGACATTAAATTGACTTGCGCATTCAATATAAACCATTTTTTCCTACATATACCTTATTTTATTTTATTTAATTTTTTTTAAATTATTTATTTCAATTTTAATAAATTTCTCAAATTATCATATATGTACTAATGATTGTAATGATTGTAATCATATCTGTATTGATTAAATAATATTTAATTTAAAAAAGAATTTTTTTATTCATTTCCTTATTTTTTTAAAAAATAAATTATGTACTTATGTAATAAATACAATTATATGTTTAATAAATATTAATGTTTACATAAAAAAAACCATGTTTTATTAACTTTCATTAATTTTAATTAAAATGTAATAAATCAAAATATAATTATTTACATGAAAAATTTAATATTTTTATTTCCTTGACTCCATGTTTTGTTTTTTTTTAAATAAAAAAGTATTAAAAGTGGGGGTTACTGTTGATTTTTTTATAAATTTATTTAAAATAAAAAATTTTAGGATTGCATATACTTCATTTGTATCTGTACCAGACCATGAAATAAATAAATAAATAAAATTATTATTATTATTATATATTTTTTGTTAATTTTTTTGTAGAGGATAAAGTTTGATATACGTTTTAAAGAAACTCCAAATAATTTTTAAAAATTACAAAAAAATAATTAAATTTTATTAATTTTTAAAGGAATGCTAGAGAAAAACAGTTAGAATGCCAAAAATTAATTTAAAAAAAAAAAAAAAATGAAAAATAAAAATTACATATGCACAAACAAACAAACATTCAAAATTTTTTTTATTTTTATTAAAAATTGAGGTTATGGTGTTGTAGTAATAATATTTCAACTATAAAATTAAATTTTTAAAAGAAAATAATAATTTTTATACAAAAAAAAAAATTAAAATTTTTAAAAATATTAATAAAATATATACTTTATATCCTTCACAAATTATTTTTAATATATATATTCTATTTAAACCTTTTAAAATTTTTTAAGACTCCATTTTGTTTTTGTTGTTGTTATTATAATGGCATACATTAAAAAATTTAACTTTTTTTTAATTTTTAATTATTTTTTAAATTTATTATTCAAAAGGTGAAAAATAATTA